TTTAAAACAAATGTAAAATTTAGTGGCCTTGGAGCAAAAACGGAATAATATTTGTTGCAAATAATTCTACGTTTTCTTTGTTTTAATGACAGATTGCTCGTCTGTGGTTGATAATATTTAGACATTTTTTTTTTAAATACGCTAAAGGAACAGTTACTTTCACCCTAAACTAAATCGCACGAAGTTATACACAAAAAATGTAATATACAATTATAGGTGTAATTAATATGATTAAAATAGCTGTGTTTAATTTTTGATGCAAAAATAAAAGTTTCAAGTTAATATTTGTAGCATTATAGTATTTAATACAGTTTCATTTTAGGGAACACAACACAAATGTTTTATCAATCATTAGTACATTTAATTTTGGGTTGAGGGAACCGTAATTGAGTTGTTCATTTTTATGTAATTTTTTAGTAATTTTGTCACATATTTTAGGGGTGACTTTGATTTTGAGTGTGAAAAATATTGAACAATAACGTATAAGAAGCAGAACCTATGCTTTCGATAAATAAATAAAAAGAAACGATGCAATATTGCTCGAAGGAACGAGGGAACACCAAAGAGTGTGAGAACAACAGAATGTGAACCAAAAGAATGTATGTAAAATAAGGAAAGAAATGTAAGAAATGTTAAAATGTCTTAAGCACCCCAACAAAGTACCTCTGAACTCGAAACGGATAATGGAAGTTCCACTGTGCAAGTTTCAAACCGGAAATTCGAGACAAACGCTCGACGTTTCGGCATATTTTCCGTTGGGAAATGTGGGTTGAACCGACTTGTGCCATTTTGACCACAAAATATCCGAAATCCCAGGAGATACGAATACGATTTAACAGCGAAAACAAAAAAACAAAAAAAAATAAAGCAATTTATCCGATGCGTTCACGTCGATGAAACCTTATCGAAAATTCGGAACGATCCCCTGATTAAAACGGTCCGAAATCCGGATCATTGCCGGTTTCAATCCGGCGCCGCGGCGAAACGAAAATATCCCGGAACATAAAATCCAGAGACGTTTCCTGTTCCCTTTGCCGACTGTTTCGACGGTTCGTTCAACTGACGAGCGTAATCCCGCGGATGAACCGTGAAGAGGCAAAAAGTAGCGCAGGAAAAATACGACCGGCCTTTGTCTCTATAAAAGAACAAATGTGCCATAAAGGGGAGGTGCCTACAGGCCGTGCAAATAGTATTGGCAGCCAGTGCAAGCCAATATTGGCACCGCGAATGGAACCGAATCGAAGATGCGTGGCTCCGGCCGGCAATTCCGAAGTCGCCGCGAAAATCTTGCCAACCGTGAAACGCGATTTCTTCGAAATATCTCCATGGTAAATGCATTCCGCTTTCGTATTCTTCCTGTCCCGCCGACTATTTCTCTGCCCGTCGCGATGAGCTCTCGCGCGCCCGGCATTTTCATCCGGGCGAAACTTCGTTTAATACTTTAGTCCGGCTCCTTTTTCCAGCTCCCAAGTATCCGGCCTTTTAATTCGCCCGACGGAAGCTGCTGTTTATTCATACGCTGGCTAGAAATTATTCATTACTTTCGCCCGTCCCTCGATGCTTCGCGCAATCGCGATCCTCCGGTATTTTTTTCACACTCGAAACTGCGCATCGAGATTCGAGATAAACACTCGATTTTAAACGCACAAGATTCTCGAACGATTATTATACGATACAAATTTCAGTGGAATTTTTGTCATTCTCGTTTTTGCAAATCAGTTTCAATCGAGAGTGAAGTAATGGAAATGTCATTTTTTCGGTTTTGTAAAAAATTTTAATGGGAGATTCTAGGGACCAAAATGAGACGAAAGTCAAGAGTACCAATTTCTTGATTGAAGCTTCGTTAAAAAGTTATTAACATTTAAGGGTCCGCCTGTAGAACTCACAAAACTGTAAGACTGTTGATACGTCAGTAGGTAGAGCTCACAGGCGGAACTTTAAACGTTAATAACTTTTTAACCGAGCCTCAATCAACAAATCGGTATTCTTGATTTTCGTCCTATTTTGTCCTCTAGAATCTCTCGTTAAAATTTTTCCCAGGGGTAGCCGAACACCCTATACATATTGTATATTCACGAAATACTCCACACTATACAAATGACAAGATTTTAATTGATTTTTTAATAAAAAACTGTTGCAAGAGTCGATTTCTATTTGAAATTTTTAATAACCAAGTTTTCCATTAATTTTCCATTAACGATACGTCTACTTTTTATAATTTGATTCAATTTTATGGTATTTTGCTGGCAAACTTTTTGTGTAATTATTTTTCAATGAAACGTTGTTCGAAAAATGGTGAAATATGAGGACTAAGTGAGTCACAATTACGATTATTTTATTATTATAACTTTTATCATTTCTAGAATGAAGAATTACGCGATGCATAGAGGGTCAATAATGTTTTTTTAAAAATAGAGTCATATATTTCTTAATGCACTATTCAACAATGCAGTTCGTCATTTCTTGTTAAAAAGAATTTGATCATTTATAACAAAAAAAACCACTGGTTTAAAAGATACTAAATTTTTATAATTTACTACTAAATTTTTCTCAGGGTTGGCCGAACACCGTGTATATTTCTTCTTACATCGTAAGCAAGCCATAATTTGATGCCAATTTTTGTCTGCAATATAATCAAACAATAAGAATAGAAGTAAATATTGAAAAATTCATACTACTTATACAATAAGAAAAGCTGTGAAGTTAAATGGCGCTAAAATCACATTGTATGTTAGAAATTCTAAACGTAATTTTAAAAACGCTCATTGAACCGGTTGTGATTGATTTAGTGTTAAATATACTGTACTGACTATGGATTTTGAAATAATTCGAACTGTGCCACATTTTGTACGAACTTGTACATATTGACATTAGGTTTTACCCTGCACACTGTTATTGTTTTTGTCATCGTCTCCTGTATACATCGAGTGACAATAAGTCGTTTAATAAGTCCTTAGAAAAAGATAGAAAAACAAATTATTTTAGGTGGATTTCTTTTATTTTTCAACATAGTCTCCTTTTAGCTTTATACATTTTTCCAAACGTTTCTCCCACTTTTTTAAGCCATCTAAAAAGTCAGATTTCGGAGCACCTCAAAATAAGCATCTGTTTGGGTAGTGACCTCCTCGTTCGACGCGAACCGTTGTCCTGTGAGCCATTTTTTAAAGTTTGCAAATAAAAAAAAGTCACTGGAGGCCAAATCTCGTAATAATTCGAACTTTAATTCCATGATTTCGGCCATCGAAACAGCACAGGTGTGCAGTCGACAATAAAAATGAAACCATGTGGTGGATATAACCGAGACTTCGACAGCCGTCTGAGTGACGATGCTTACTAACAAAAAGGAACCATTTTCGATGCAACGAGCGCCGGGTCTTGGATTTTCTAAGGACTTATCAAACGACCTTCGTATCATTTGTAAAAGTTTCTGGAGGAATCGCGGAACGGTTACAATGGCGTCCGGTCGAAAAAATTCCGTCTCCGGGCTAGCAAGAAAGACCGCCTCAAATTGACTACATTCCGGGTGGAGTTTTTGCTCGTCGAAATGCACGTCTGTTCGCGAGTTGTCGGGAATTTAGCGTCGCTGTTTGCCGAGTTTTCGAAATTATTCAGCCGTGGAATCGCGGGAACAGAGAGAAAAACCGGAGCTGGATGTCTCCGCGAGACCGACGAAGAACTCATTTCCAATGAAAATGAGACCCAAGATCACGCGCGTCGCCTGGTGAGCCCTTCGTTCGAACTTCTGTCTTAAAGTATATGGAGGATCTCTCTCTCCACCCTCGAGCAAGATGGCGGAGAGCTTAAGCTCCCGTGAACGTTCGAAGCTGCTACACTTTGAACGAGCTAGTCGTGAACACGCGTGACATTACGTTAATTTGCAAGTTGCCGAGCGCGCCTCGGAAAATAACCCGCTTTAATTCCCCCGAGTACTTTGGCTCAATTGTTCTCCTCATCTTTGCTCAAAGTATTGCTGTCTTAATGAAACATTCGTAGCCATTTATTACTTGTCAGGTTTCAGTCTGGATTCAGTCGAGGATACCTCCACTAAAACTTGCTCGTTCTCTATGGCGGTAATTTGTTGTCTCTGGTAATAATACTTACAGTCAGTCCCATAACTATTTGTACCTTCATCGTTCATAGAAGAAGTCTGTAGAGATCGAGCAACACGTGCAAGATATTGCAACAACATTTTAGTTTAAATGGATACATGTATAAAGATTGTTCGTAGCAAATTTTAACAGAATTGAACAATTAGTAACAAAAGTGTGTTAATTTTAATGCAAATGGCACACAATAACAGTTCACGAAAATATTCGTACCAACGTATCTTTTGTTCAGAAACTGTATGTTACAATAGCTTTATTACTTTGTATTAATTTTATTATGTTTCGTCGGTCTACATTGGTTTGGTCGCTCTTGCATAATTTCGAAGAATCGTAGGTGTTTTGTTATACACTTGTACAAATTTATTATAACATTTCCTGACCTTTTAAAGGAAATGACTGTTAGATTGCAATTTTTTAAGTATTTTCAGCTGTTTCTATTTTTCTTTACTGATCACTGAGTGAGATAACTGGACTTATAGTAATGAACATAATAATTGCAAGAATGCATATGCTTAGAACGATATTGTGGGAGGGTATGGAGGGAAACAGGACGTTGTCAGGAGCCCGAAATAAACCCTCCCAGTCTTAAGAACGATGATATATATTTTAAATAAATGATATATATTAGTCGGGCGCGCACGAGTGTACGTGACAATCCTCGTCAAAGTCTGTGCTGTAACTGTCCGATGACCTGGCCTGCTTGGCCTTGCCATCCCTTTGCCGCTTTCCCTTTTCCCGTAAGGAACAAAGCGGCCTACGTCATGGGAAAACCCCTGTACCCTGTCCTCTCCAAGCTAAAGAGGCCTCCTACAGTTCGGCCATCCTGACCTGTTAGCCGCCCCGGCTAACCCCAATACAATATTGTTTCTTAAATCTATCTGTACATACTGCATACTACATGCTTCTTAGCTCATACTTAATACATAATTTTTTCTCCAACGAATACATTAATACAAACATACATTCCTCAGTTTGCTCGTTCGAAAGCGTTTTACAATGATACATTTTAAAATTATAATGCCCTGGGTAATTTGTGTGTAACACAAATTTCTTAACACATTGGGTTTTGGCCTCAAATAAAATGTCCAATCCTAAAGTGAAATAGTTATCGAAGAAATCCGATCGCCTTATTTTATCATGTTCGTGCGCGTGAGGACTATGAATGCGCATCTTGTCCTCGGCTTTGAAAAACACCCGAGATGGTGCACCCAAAGCGCTCAACACATCTTCGCAAGTATCGCCAAATAATACCTTTTTGGTCCAGCAGCGTTTCCTTGGCTCCAGTAATACCCTAGTTACAGAGCTACCTTCTGTGAAAAAATGCAATCTCAAACCTCGAGTGCGCGCTTTATCCCGCATAACATCTACCTTCTCTAAATACAAATTGTTGTGATAGCAGACGAGCGGTAAAGGTGGTGGATGTGCTTTCAAGTTATGCTCGTCTGTTCCACTTCCGCTAGCCATATTACCAATGTATCTAGCTGTTTTAGCTACAAGGGGGGAAGTCCCATTTGGAAATGGTAGTGATCCTAAGCCATGCGCATATCCAGGTTGGAACTTTGAATCAATGGGAAAATAAAATGACAATCCACGAAAATTTAAAACAAACACTTGTTTGTCGCTATCGTAAACACCAGGATGAGTTGCTCCAAACGATTGTTCAATTTGTTCGATAGATGGCAAAACTTCCGGCGAATCGAACGGCAGACCGCAGTATTTAAGTTTGACTAATTTCATATTATAAATTTCAATTATTTTGAGCCTTTGCACCACTGGGTCAAATATAAGCCGTACACCGTCGTGAGGTAAGTTTATTACTAAATCTACATCTAAAGGATGACTATCGCTATAAAGTACTTGTACTCCCCTTATAATGCCCACTTGAGATTGTATTATCGAAACTGATTGAGAAAAATGCATACCTAAAATAAATTCCCACTGCTCGCAGCCGAGGGATCTCTCGGGCACTACCTCCAGCTCCAACATTCTACCGATTTTTCTATTTAATAATTCGTCTAAAATACTTTGTAATTTTTCCCTATCCGCATATGAAAGTCGCCGCGGTCTAAAGCAAATCAGTTGTTCCTGTTTTAAAACTATATTCATTTCAAAATGAATGTTATCGATACTCGATCCCTTGACTTGTAAATAGTCCGATTGGTAGGATTCTTCACTTTGTTCTGCCACCACCGGGCCAATTTCCGAGTGAATTTGAAGTTTTTCCGGTACCGTGGCCGGTTCGCTCAGGACATCAATATTTAAAATTTGCACAATCGCGGAATCTAAGTAGTTCGCGGACTTATTTTCTTTCCGGGACACAACGAATCCGTTATCAAATGAAAATGTAATTAGGGAATTCGAGAAAAAGTCTCGCCCTAATACCGCCATAAATGTCATCGTGCTATCCGGAACTACATAAAACTTTATTTTTACGGAAATTCCTTCAACCTCGACTTCGCGCTCAAAGATACCTAATATTTTCATGCGCGAACTGTTAATTCCCGCGAATTCATACACGTTGTCTGATAACGAAGTTAGCATTTCCCCGGGTACACAGCTATTTTTGATAAAACTTATCGGTGATCCTGAGTCTAACATTGCACTCAAGGTATACTTACAGGACTGTTTGTTCTTATCAACTATAACGTAACTAAGCGAAAGCAGATACGGTGCTGGGAGTGATGCCTGGACAATGTTCGTCGGCGTTGTCGCGCTGGGCACCATTCGGATGATGGGCTCTCTCCGTGCACTGCTCTCCCCTTGCCGGTTCGTCATCCGTTGTGGGCAATCCCTTATTTGATGTGTAGTCGCTCCGCATCCAAAACAAGATCCGAATTCCCGACTCTTCGGTCTTGGACATCTTGGGGACACATGTCCGGTTTCTCCACAATTGAAACATCGGGGCATCTTCTTCTGCAGCTCGGGTCTTCCTCTTGGATCACTACCCCCTTTGCTCGGTTTCCCGTCGCTGCTAGCACTGTCCTTCGCATCCAATGTGATTTTTTCAAATGCCTCTAATAAATCGGCAGTCGTTCGGAACCGCAATATTCGAGCGTGATCTCGGAGCCAGGCGTCGGTGATGCCGTCGATGAGGCAATCTATCATCTCGTCCGTCGCAATCGGTACGCGATTTCCTAGAATTATCTTATCGTGATAATATTCGGCGAAATGTTCGCCCGCCCTCCAGACTCGGTTCTCAAAATCTTTCCGCAGTGTCAATTTACTGGGTCGATGGTCGAACATCACTTTCATCTCCTCCAATAGCGTGTCAATGTCCATAATGAGATGTTCCGCCCTCGACTGGAACCAATTCGCGGCACGCCTTTTTAGTTTGGCACTAATTAACACCCTTGCCGCCTTATCCTCCAACTCGTACGTGGTTCGCAGGAGTTGTACCTGTTGTTCCCATCTCCAATAAGTACCATCACGAGCATCAAACTCGCATAATAAGTCTCCAATCGCACGTATGCTCATATTCATAGATGAGGAGCTTCGATCGGTCCTCTCCGAGATCCTGGGACTGTCCGCAGCTTCTCGTTCCCGACGAAGAAGCTCCATTTTTCGCCGCATTATATCGCGCTCCAAACGCATGAGCTCCAATTCGCGTGCCAGGAGGTCGCTCTCTCGGCTTCCAGAACCTCGACGAGGCTGCGCTGCCTCGTCTTGTATCTCACAGTCCCGTCGCTGTTCTTCAACTTGATCAGCCGTCGCCCGGTTCGCCGCGACGATGTTCCAAATATCGGGATCAAATTCTTCCAGTCGTAAAATCAACTCGGATTTCGAGCCGCCCACTACCAAGTTGCGTTCTCGCAGAAATCCCTTCAACTCACTGGTAGTGTAGTTCTTCGACATCTTCAGTGGTCAAAATTAGCGTCGCTGAGTCTTAAAAAAAATGCGTCAACACGCTTGACTTCCAGCTGCACAATCCGCTAACCCACTCTCAACAAATATGTCACGGGACCAGATTCACTACCAATTCAATTTGATGAACTGCACAATTGTCAATTTGAGTTACAACGCACCAATAAAATCACTGACGTACAATATTCACTTACACTCGCGACTCGTACTTATTTTCAAAAAAAAAAATAGTTCTTTATCCCACTTCTGAATTGTGGGAGGGTATGGAGGGAAACAGGACGTTGTCAGGAGCCCGAAATAAACCCTCCCAGTCTTAAAAACGATGATATATATTTTAAATAAATGATATATATTAGTCGGGCGCGCGTGAGTGTACGTGACAATCCTCGTCAAAGTCTTTGCTGTAACTGTCCGATAACCTGGCCTGCTTGGCCTTGCCATCCCTTTGCCGCTTTCCCTTTTCTCGTAAGGAACAAAGCGGCCTACGTCATGGAAAAACCCCTGTACCCTGTCCTCTCCAAGCTAAAGAGGACCGTTAGCCTCCTACAATATGGAAGATAATTCTTTCTCCTTCACATTTCGTGATAGAAATTAAGGCAATATTCTGAAAAAAAACAAATACTGAACGAATTACGACCACGGAATAGTCGACTGCTTGAATAAATTTTTCATAATTTTCTCATTACATCCGAATATTACAATTGTTGCTCTTAAGGATGTGTAGAAAATGGACGATTTTTGACATTGTCCATTAATTTCCCGAGAAATGCTGAAACTTGCAATTTCTTCAGTAGACTTTTAATATTCATATATTGAAAATAATTATAGACACAGCAGAAATATATTACAGTCGACGATAATACTGTAGGAACAGCAGAATCGCGAAGAACATGTCAGTGCCACTTGAAATAAAGAATTTGCATGTACATGCTTGACCCATTTGAAGTGCTCGGTATTTCGTAACAGATCCTTGACGCCATTTCGAGAACCTGATACTGCCTTGAATAAGAATGAACTATAACATATCACGATTTATCATGTAACTCTATACCACGCTGGTTACGTAAGAAGATACATACGTTCATTTTATAGCAAAGAATTCAATAGAGATCGTATACAAGTTTATAAAAATATAGAAAATCCATATCCATATTGATGCCGCGGTATCTGCAGTCTCCACTGACCTCTTATTCGGTCTAAATACTTAAATAAATAAATGATCCGAAAATAACAATATGGGTCGACAATGAATGAACTTTCAATCTATCGACGATGAAACGCGCGACGAATAATTAATTTGGTCTAAAATGATCTAAGAATAGAGATCGTCGAGAGTCTCGGGGATTAACGAGATTCTGTGAGAATGGAGCAGGAATTCTCTTTTCTTTTTAATTAAAAATTCGAAAATAAACACAGCAACTAAGAATGAAAATTATCGATAAAACTGAATATACATACGTAAAATACAATAATATACCGATTACACCAAAAGTTACTATACGTTGACAATAGCTGTCAGTAGAAGTTTGGCATAATAGGTAAATTTTTGAAATCTATTATTATATTTTCATAAAAAAGTAATCCATGTTTTCTTGTAAAACGAAATTAATGTAAGAAACCATGCTCAAATGGTAGGAAAAATCATAAAACTTCATCTACAGTTTGTGGAGGTTAAAATCGAATCATAAAAACTGATGTTTGCTTTTGAGACGGAGAAACAATTTAAAGTAAACAGTTCTTAATAAAATATTTCATTAATGTTTCAATTGGTTCTAAAATTTCTGAAAATAGTAAAACTGTGAAGTCAGATTGTGAAAATCTAAATTCTTATTTCGTTCCACCCTAGCAGAGATAGCAGTAGTAAAAAGATTGTATATGACGTAGAAGGTTAAGAGTAAAGGAGAATATAAAGGAGAAATTCGAGGTCTCCAGAACGATATACGACTTGCACTCGAAACAAGATTTTCTACTTTATATTCCTTAACCCATTGTAATAAATACAAAATTATTATTCTATTATAAAATTTTATTGTATTGTGTAATAATGCTTAGACGAAAACTAATATAAAATGATATGAAATGAACGTAAAATACTTATTAAATGCTAAAAGTATCAATTGGTCGCATTTTGAGTGCTAGCTAATTACGAATAAAATCACAAAATACGACCAGATGGCACTGTATTGGTCTGGCAACTATGTATTCGAAACGTCAAACCCATATTGTTGTCCGATAGTTGATATTCATGTAAAGAAGATTATGCTATCGGTTTGGTGGGATTACAAAGGGATCGTCTAAGTTGAACTTTTATCACGCGACCAAACGATCAACTTTTATGTGTACATTCAACAACTAACCAAACTCAATAATGCAATTCAAGAAAAGCGGCCAGAATTGTGTTCCACCATGACAATGCAAGGCCACACACATCTTTGGTCACTCGACAAAAATTATTGGAACTTGGTTGGACATATAGTCTTGACCTTGCACCGTCAGATTATCATTTGGTTTCGTTCTTTACAAAACTTCTTGAATGGTGAAAATTTCAATAATTATGATGATATTAAATTACACTTGATTCAGTTTTTTGGCGATGAAACCAGAATTTTTATGAACGGTGGAATTATGATGTTGTGGCGTCGCTTTCCATGCTCGCCACCAGAGGGGTCGCGCTCTCACAAGCGCTCGATCGACCCCTCGGTTGCTATACATGTATACATTCCTCGAACGACTTCCCAATATCCCAAATCCCCTGGTAGCCACTCTAGGGAACTATGATCCCATCACCATCCCACCAAAACGCGAATAAAAACACTCAGACTCATCCTAAACTAACAACCCCTACCACCATACTCATCGCATGATGCATGAAAACGAGGTTTTTGAAAGTTATCCCTCGAGCCCGAACACAAGAAATACCTCAACCCCACACTAACATAAATATACCCAGACACTAACAGTCATTCTAAATGCAGGTTATAGGGCCCCAGGCCCAGGTACTGCAACCAACCATGAAAAATAACAAAAAAAAAAAAAAAAGAACTTCCCAATATCCCAAATTCCCTGGTAGCCACTCTAGGGAACTATGATCCCATCACCAACCCACTAAAAACGCGAATAAAAAC